AAAGCGATCACAAGCAAGTTTGTTGCCCCCAGGCCCCAGTGAAATCCTGACCTATTACTGAATGCACAGAATTCCCAGCTGACATGGGTCAACGCATGAATAAGAGCACAGTTGAAAGTGGTACCAAAATGAATCCATTTCACAGTAATCATGTGTATAAGCTCAGTTGCACATATGAGTTTCCACTATCACAAATTCACAATCACAGAGTGAAATAGCAGGTGTGCTCAGGCCTGGGAAAGTGGCATCCACAAGGGGAGATGGATTTGAAGGCAAAAGCAGCTGTGGGCTTTATCCCAATCTTGAATATCTGCGTTAATTCGAGGCCTGGGGGCGGGAGCAGAGCAGGCACTGTTCAACGGGCAGATATCTCAGTACAGTGGAACAACTGTTGAGGCATTGAGCCTGAGGGGGTGTGCTGTTTGGATATCTTTGTCAGAGGAATTCTTGCTAGAGAGAGACTCACCGCCCACAGCCTGGGAAAGGAAACGCTCCCTTTGAATATTTGGGGGCGGCAAATGATAGCAACGGCCAGTCTGATAGCAAAGCATCTGCTTTACAGAATATTTTGCAAGATACACGATTATATTACTTTAAATTGCAGGGTAGTGCACAAACTATATGATTCCAAGGTGATTAGAGGAATAGAATGAAAAGCTGCAATACCCAACATCCCCACGATGGAGAGAGAACAAGCAATCATCCAGCACAGAAAGACCCTTACCTATGAGAATTGCTGAACCCTCCAAAGCTGAAGGCACGGTGCAGGGATCGTTAATATTCTGAGCCTTTTATTTGAAAAAAGGTACTCATTATATACTAGATCCCTCTTACACATATGACCCTGGAAATTGACTAAGGGGAAGAGTATTTCAAACATTTCTACAGAGCAAGCATTGCAGATACCATTAATTATCTTCAGCCATGATTTTCTCTAAATTCGGAATTAGTGGGCTTCAAGTTAATGGGCTTTTTACCATAGTTGCAGGCAGTCTTATTACAGTACTTTTAAATTAGCTAATTATACTAAATAGTATGAGGAGAGTTTGGTGGGGAGGATGTGCTTGTTTCCGAATCAGCGCAATCCTGAAATTGAACTTCATTACTTGTCAAGCTGAAAAGCACCCTATACCAGCAGCTTTGCATCTTGGCTTTGACCATGAGGGCATACACATGAGACATAGCACAAGTACATACTCCTAGAAAGACAGCGCACAGGTGTGTAAGAGTCTCTCTTGATAATCTCTCTCAGATAAAAGGACAATCTAGAGGCAGTGTTGTTTTTCTTTCTTCTTCTCATGGGATGCCATTTGGTTGTCAAAAGATCAAATCTCAGCCAGCCAGAGAGGAACCATCTGGCTCCAACTCCTAACAGACACTTTCCTGTCCTGAATGCCTCATATTCAGGCTACAAAAAAAGACAACATCCAACAAATCAGGCAGATTCCTGTCTTCCAAAGCACCCTAAGGAATTCACACAAATGGCAGTGGGATTGGCAAGTAGAAGAGGAGGTCTCTGGCTTCCAGTAGCTCTGTGTCACATTTCCATCAGCCAGGATACAACGATAATGCTGTGCCCGTCAGCTGGGCACCTGTGAGCTCCAACTCTTTCTCTTGTGCTTTTGGTTTGAAAACCCTGGGCGATGGGGAGCAGCAGGGAAGGGACAAGATTGTGACTCTTGTTTTACAAATTCTTAGAAAGTTTTGGTTGAAAACAAGTTATGTTTCAAGGAAGTTTTAAAGCCTTTTCTTTGTTAATGAAAAATATCCGAATAACTAGCCCCACCCTTCCCAAAGTCAAAAGTCACACATCTTTCCACCAAGAAGTTAAAAGTCTCGGGAGCATTCAAATTTCCATCAGCTGCTGATGCCCACGAAACAGGAGCCAAGGCCAGGGGCACCAAATAAAAAAAGGCAGGTGAGTTGGGATCCCAGCGGGCACAGGCCCCCAGGATGGAGCTGCTTTGTCTTCTTCCGAAGCTTTTTGTGAGTGGGGGCAACTTTGGGGGGGCTCTGACAGCAAATCTCAGCTTTCCTCATTCAGGGCCCTGTCATCAGGCTACCCAGTCCCCGAGAGGAGACATTCCTCCCTTCAGACGGGAACCCTCCTTCCTGGTTACAAATATAGCCACACACCGGCTATTGTTTCAGATAAGCATGTAAGAAAAGGCAACGTGCACAAGAGCGCGCACTCACACACACACACACACACACACACACACACACACTCACACACGCACAAATCCAAAAACAACAAAGATGTGGCTACTGCAGCGTTAGCATTGTATCAAATCTATGTTCATACAAAGACAGATTTTGAAAGATATGTACAGAGCATTCATAAAAGCCAAATGTGCACCGCGAGGAATGATGACCACTGTGGACTGTACAGTCTTTTTTCTACAATATACTGCAAAAAATGTCCCAGAGACCGTGGTGGCAACCCCACTCAAAAGAACGCTATGAAGCACCTGAACCAGAGAGTGCAGGGCCTTAAAGAAATGCCTCTGAGTGAGCTCTCCCTGCAAATCTGTGCTCAGCGCCTGAAGGACATGTGCCACCCTCCATTGGGCCAAGTTCCTGCTTCCAGATCTATTCAGTCTCCACCCAGCTGCAAATATCTGACAGCTCAGTAGGGAAGGGCTCAATAGATGCCAAAGGCAGCAGGCATTCCTTGGCTCTGGTTGATGGGCCCTATGCCTGGCCCTCTGCTTAGTGGAGAGGAGACACATGGGGGTAAGTGTCTTCTCCCAGGTCACACACAGGTACCAGCATGAGAAAATGCTGGAAGGGCAGGGGCTGGCCCCAGAGTTTCAGGCTGCCTTGGGTTCTCTAACATGGCCAAATGGGATTGACCCCAGCCTCCATCATGGAAAAAGCATGGGCTTTCTGGGCCAAAAATGCCTTTGTGAAGAAGGGTAGGAGTGTAGTGCTAGAGATCCAGAGGGAGGAAATAAGGAAGGCAGGAAAGTTGGAATGCCACCTGGTCAGCACCTTTGGCACCAGGGAGCACTCGGGGCAGGTGGGGGGGGGGGGGAGAAGGAACAGAAAGATTTGACTGGAATGAGACTGATTCCCCAGATTGAGACTCAATATCAGAGTCATATGAAGGCCTCCACTAGGACTGGTCCCTTATAACCTACACATTTGTAGAAAAATCTTCCTAAGGGCAAACCATACTACCCAGACCTCCACATAGTCCTGTGAAGTAGGGGGAAGGATGAAAAACCCCAACCACAAGGTCAAGTTGTCCAAATTGGGGGGCCTCACTGGGATAAGATCACAAGCCTCCTGATTTGAAGCAAGTCTCAGGGCAAGTGTCCAGGAATGAAGGGGCCTCCAGATATTATCTGTGGCCACAAGGCAGGGCCGCATTCAAACAAAAAGGCCCAGTGCCTGCCTTGGAGAGCTGTTTAAACAGAAAGGAGCTTGTCTTCTCAGTGGATTTTTAAACTGCTGTGGTTGCCAAGAGACCCTGGCTATGCACTCTTTTGGGCTCCACAAAAATATGCTACATTTAAAAAAGCACCACAGAGGAAAAATGGTTTGGCGCCAAGGCCAAGAGGATAGAGATGAAGGGTTGGGGGACAGAGAGTCGATAGTCTTTTGGGTGGTCATTGACAGTTAAAGATAGGTCACCTCTGCTTCATTGCTGTCCAAAACCTCACTGAAATGGAAAAGTGGACAGCTCTTGGGCCACAGAAAGGGGTTAATAAAAACAGGCCAGCACCTGGCAATGACAGAGCAAATCCTGGATGGGCCTTTTATCCCAGGTCATGGGCTTCCCCATCTCCCTCAAAAAGAAATGTCTAAAATGGGACACATTAGGATCTTCTTCCCGGGTGGGCACCATCATTAAGAAAAAAAAAATAAGCCATCTAAAGTTCAAATTCAACTCAATTCACCTACTCACGAAAAGGGAAGTATCCCAAAAGTTCAAAACCATAGAGCACAGTGCTGAGGAGGCCAAGGTCAGATGGGTATAGATGTGCTATGGGACAATCAATCTTATGAGGAGAAAACTTCAGCTGTCTACCCCAGCCTGTACCCCAACCATTCAGAGGCCAGGGACTCCGCAGGCAGAGGCAGTCAGATAGGTTTTCCCAGGGCTATGATTGGACTCGTGCCAGTGGGTAGCAGTTTGAGCACAGCCAGTGCATACATCTGGAGAGCCAACACCTGGGAGAGGCCAAGCATACCAGAACCAGAGCTACCACTCCAAGATAGCAAAGTTCACGCAGGCCCCTTTGATTAATCTAGAGGAGGCAGTTCTGACAACCAGGTCCCTACCCCTCACCCTTCACACACCCTGTCCTCCTTCCAGGTTATTTGAGACGTTCATTTTAATCTGGTTAGGAGGATGGGGGGTGGACATTGAGGGAGAGAAGCATCACAGATCTGTGAGATTGATTTCCCTTGGCCTTTTAGGAATGGCCTACGTTATAGTGTTTTGTTTTGTTGTGTTCGTTATTTATGTGTGATAACTCTTTTTGTTTGTTTTTTGTTGTTGTTGTTGTTCACTCCTTTCCTTGTCCTCAAAATGTAAGCCAGGACACAGCACAGGACTGCTAAGGGGAAATGGAGCTGAGGGCTGGCTCCTCTCTGTCATTTCTGTGGCCTAGGCTTCCAGACACAGATAGGAATTCAGCCAGCTGTGTGGCCCCAGGGCCCAAGCCTATGGACATTCTAGCCACAGTCAATTCCATGGGGTGATTCCTTTGGCATAAGAGAAGCCAGTCCCTGACAGAAGGACAGGATAGAGGGATATAGGGAGCTTCTGGAAGAGCTGGGCTCTCCGGCCTGTAGCTCTTTCCAGGGGCATATGTGCTCCCTATACCCCTCACCTGTCTCTGACAACTGACTACAAACCCACAGTTAGGAAATTATTTGGCAACAAGGAGGCTAAGGCTGTTTTGTGGTGGCACAGTCTTTAAAAAGTTAAAAAGAAAATAGGAGACCCTCCGAAAGAGGCTTTCATACCAGACAGGACACAAGTCCCATTACTTGTCTGAGCCGGGGTTCGCAGCCACTATCTCCTCATACTTTGGGGGTGGGTCACTGTAAGTGACACTTGCCTCCTCGCTGCTGCTCTCCTGGGGTGCGGTCACCTCCTCATAGGATGGGGGAGGAGTGGCACTGGATAATCTAGAGAGAGAGAGCTCAGGAAGGTAGAGGGTGCTCTCAAGGCGGACTGTGGTTCTGCTCCCCCCCCGACTGGGCCCCAGCACCACCTGTGGGCTGCTCCCTGCCTCCCGGTGCCCAGAGGACTCCCCCTGGCTATGCACAGTGCCCCGGTACACCATGACCCGGGGCAGGCTGTGCCCGCCTCGATTTGCTAGGTACCGGTTCTGAGCATAAGAAGGGTGATGACGGGTGGCTTTCTGCAGCTGGCACCTCCAGATGATGAACAAGGCGATGACAATCAGCAATGCCACCCCCAGAAGGGGCACCACCACATACATGGCATCTGAGCTCTGTGCAGGGTCTCGGACTGAGTAGACTGCATTAGGATATCCCTTCCAGAACTCCATCTGCAAAAGAAGAAGGGCCACTTACACTCATGCACAAGTGCTCGTGCCCCAGATGGACCTCAGAGACCTTCAGCAAGATGGCTCCCCACCCCACCCCATCTGACTGGCCTCTAGGAGCTAACAGAGAGGCACTAGAATGCACCAAGGATAAAGAGCAACACTCCCATAGAGGAGGCCCCCAGAGTCAGGCCGATGGGACTCTAAGGACATGTTTTCTATTCTATGGCCCCAAAGGCCCCACCTTGGACTAGGCTGGCTTTCCTTCATTGCTTCTGGTCCATCTGAGGCACCTGGGCCTGCTCTTCTTATTCCTGATGTTACCTCTCCTCCCAGAACCCAGCCATAGGGTGGTACGTGCCGTTTTCTCTTTGTCCTCAAACACCTCCTTGACCTCCTCGTAGCTGCAGATCTCCTCCATGCACTCCCGCTCGATGGTACCCTGGCGCAGCTCCTCCAGGAACTCATTGGCACGAGGGAACCGCTTCAGGACCGAATGGGCATTCTTGGCCTCCAGAAACACTGAGGAGAAAACTGCACTGAGGCCTGGAATGGGGAGGTACTGAGGGACCCTTCAAATCAGACTCAGCCCATGCGCAGAAGCACAATGTTGGATGGAAGCAAGACAAAGCCAGCTGGCTGGCCACCATCACAGACATGGCTGGCCCTTTGTAACAGAGGAGGAATGGCTGACTTTCTGTGATGCCATGATGTATCTGCCTAGAATACCATGGACCCAATAAGACTCATGTCTCTGGTGCTATGGAGAAAAATGGAGAGTGCATGTTGTGTAGCGTGTGGATGCAGATAAAGGATTTTGAATAATGTAGTCAGTGAAAAAAAAAAAAAAAACATCCAGTATCTCCTGCCTTACCTCAAAACAAGAAAATCAGAGCCCTTATAATGAGGTCACCAGCATCTTCTTTGATGCTGATGATGGTGACCAACACTAAACAATCTTATAAGACTCTATGAGGGTGGCTTCTCTGCACCTATGCTATCAGATCACCCAGCATTAATTGCCTTGCCCAAGTCAATTTTGTACAAACCCAAACAGGAGTAGGTCAGAGGACTGAAAGTACATGAGCCTGGGAAGAGGGTAGCAGGATCCAAAGGGGAAAATCTACATCTTCGTCTACATGGCACAGTTGCCTCCTGAAAAAAATGTCATTGAGTGGCAGCCATGTATACTTATTCCAGTTGAGTGGACTGGTATAATATGAGCTATGTACTTCCATAAGCCTGTCTTAGGACTTTAGAAAATAAAAGAAGAGGTGACATCTGCCCCTGATATGAACCTAGAGGTGAGACTTCTTAGTCCCCATGTCAAACAGTCCCACTCATGCCCAGATAGGTAGGGCTATGCCAGCAGGCAGACACCCTTCCCCAGGCCTCATGACCTGGCATATTAGTTTCTGCCATAGTGGCCTGGGTAGATGCACAGCCCCAAGTGAGCATGTACTCCAGAAAAAGCTAATCAGACAGGGGCCACAGGGACAATCTTGAGAAAGCAAAGCTGGGAAGGATTTGAAAGGTGGATATGCACTTTTCCCATGAGCCCTTAGGCATAGCCCTTCCCCCACTTGGTCTAAGCTCAGAAAAACTCACGTGCCATAGTGCTCCCTCAGAACCAGCGTGTCACTTGCCTGGAAAAGGAGAAAAGCAGAGTCACAGTTGAAATGGCATCCCAAAACCTACAGGGCACCCTTCTGGCGCTAGAATGTGAACCATAGCCCCAGTGGTTTGGCCAAAGGCACAGCACCCTCTACACAGTTGCTCACAGCTCTGTTGCTTTCCATTCTGCCCTGAGCTCTCCTCCAGAGCTTCCTGAGACCCTGCACTTCCTAAAGAAATCTTTCTAGTTCTTTTCCCAAGAATATTCTGAGATTCTAGAAGACCCAGACCTTAACTTTTTCTTTAAACATGAAAAACTCCTACAGGCTGAGGGTCCTCCTTTCTCACTTTGCTCAAGGAATCTGTGCACTTTTGAGTTTTCGAGAACCTCAGAGATACCAGGACTTAGGCAAGGTAAAGCAAATCAACAATAACAGAGAGAGGATTGGAAACTAATTGGAAACTAATTTTGCTCACAATGGCAGGTCCCAGATACCTCTAATGACAAGCACGTTTCTTGAAAACAGGCAACACATTTTGAGGAGCAGGTACTGCCAAAGCTTAAGATGGCAGCAAAAACCATCTCAAAAGTCACGGTCCAAACGAAGGTGACCTGCTACGTTCATTTTCACCAGACACGATGGCAAAGATCCCCTAAAACCAGTCATCTCTCCTCTTGGCATGAAAGAACACTGCAGCAGTATACCAAGACATTGACTCAAGAGATCAAAACTGAGACGCTAACTCAACACAAGTGTTGCCTCTGAAAGCTGTGCTCCTGCTCAGGAATTACCCAGCCAGTATGTACATCCCAGCCACAGCACACTGCTCTCTCCAACATACTCTCCCACTCATGCTCATATTCCAGAACACTGGCCCAACTGTCCACATCTGGGAGCAATCCCCTCCCCAAGCAGAAGCTCTAGTTTCAGGACTCTTTGGACTCAGGACATGTGAACGGTGTAACTCATTGTGCTACCCTTTTTTTCCCTAGGCTGCCAGGAACTTCACCGTTAACACTGACCATCACATACAAGTGCCCTGGTTGCCCAGCTGTTCACATATGCTTCTCCCCCTGTGACATGGTATGCACTTTTTTAGTGCAGTTACAGAATCTTAAGTATATTTAAAATAGATCTTCCAATCCTTTTGGCAAACAGGTAGGACATAAACAATACATACAATTAAAACCAAAGACAAAGCAGCACAGCTTTTAGCCATCTATGGAAGCAACATGTCAAGGGGGGCTTTCTCTTTTGAACCCCACAACAATCCCATCCAAAACTCATTATGGGAATCTGTCAACGACAGGCCTACTGTTGTGAGAAAAGTTGACCCTCGATGTTTATGAGAGCGAAGATGGACTATTAGATCTCAATTCTGCTTCCATTGCAGATCCCTGAGGTTCCCCTACAGCCAATGCTGGTCATGTGGCCAGGGTGTGGGTGTGGCATGCCTAACAGCAAGGTTTTTGATTGTAGAAAAATGGAGCCTTTGTGCCAGGGTTTGAAGAGAAAGAGTAAAGGCTTTACTCATAAATGAAGGTAGAAAACTGTGTTTAATTGCTCATCAAAGAGAACTGCAGCATTGTTGTTGTTTTTTAAATTATTTTCATGGGAAAATTACATAACAGCTTATGATAGCCACTTCTTGTCCCCAAACACCTGACTTTGATACATGTACACCCACACATCTCATAGCCCCGGATGTGAGCCATCCAGACACCTGAAAAAAGTCATTAGTTCATGTTCAAGCTTGAAACAAGTCCGGAAACTCCCCCACATAGCTCCCAGGGTAGAGCCACACTCTATTAACAATTCTGTAGCCAACGTCACTGCTGCTGCTGCTACGAGGCCTCCCCCCTTCTTCCCCCCAAATGTAGCGCCTGCTTCTTTCCCTATAAATACACCATCGATAGGCTGTTACTATAGCAACAGTGAGGAAGCGTGAGGGCTCCATGACAGAGAAACGCTGCAGCAGTCACGCATGTATATGTTCCTCCTGCCCCTGGTGGATACTGTAAGGCTGATTGTAGGCCGGAGGAATTTTTAACCCACTCCCCACAGGAACACAGCTGAATCCTGAAGGCCCAGAAAGGAAGGAAGGCCACCACAAAGACCTTCAGACTCCAGGCTGGAGCTTCCCGAATCACAGCCCTCAGGGACTTGGCTCCCAAAGTTCCTTGTATGGGGACTGGAGGCCAGGAGTCCTGGAATCCCAAGACATGGTCTCCAAACCACTTCTCCAAATCCAAAAACCCTTTTTCTTTCCCTTAATCAGAGCTGATCCCCACGAAAGCTTCTTAGGTTTCCAAATCTTATGACTCATCCGCCCACCCAGTGACATGGGACCTCCAGATTACGCTCGAATTCAAACTCGGGACCCTCCTGGCCCCCTTCCACTCATGCCAGTCCTCAAAGTACCTGTCCTCGCCCTCCATAGCCCGCAACAGCTTCCTGCCCACTAACTCCTGGCCCAGCAACACTCATCTCCCGGGTCTGCTCAAGACCCCAACGCCCTGGCCCGACCGGACCTCCAGACCCTCCCCCGATAGTGCCCCGCGCCCAATTCAGTGGTCTTGGACACTGAACCTTGCCCTCGGGGCTGGGGCACCCAACCCAAACGGCCTCACCGTTCTCCGGGCCCAGGAGGCGGACGCCCTGTTTGCGCACGCAGCCCGCCACCTCGCTGCTGCGCCTCTTTCAGCAGGGCCCCTGTCCCCGCCCACCTGCTCCCCGTCGGCCAAGCCCCCCGGCCCAGCCCAGCCTTCTCCTCCTTCCTCCCACCCCGCCCCGCTGCCCTCCCGCCGCCCGCCCCGGGGCGCCTGGGTCCCTGCCCGCCAGGGGCTGAAGTGCCTCTGGAGCTTCCTTTGCAAACTGGCGCGCAGGCCTGCCTATTACCTCGGCACCCCCTGCCCTGCTTTCCTTTGGGGGCTCCGCCGCTGCCCACCTCCCGACACCCCGCCGCGCCAAAGCTGGCCTTGCGCCCCACTCCCTGGCGCGCCACCCTGGAGCGCCCAGACCACCGTGCCCCCCGATTGCCAGGCCGCGATCGTCGCGCCGCACCGCGCACCGGGCTGCTGGGCAGAAGAGAGGAGAGAGGGTTGGGGGGCGATGAGAGCGGTCCTGGGGGGGTAGAGAGGACCGGCGGGCGAGCTGGGCCGGAGGGGCGGCGGCGCGCACCCAGCACCGCGCGCCCGCGCCCCACTCCGCCAGCGCCGCCCCTGACCCCGCCCGTGCCTGGCGGGGCGGGGCCTGGCCCGCGGGCCCCTGGAGCACCGGGGACCCTCGGCCCAATGTGCGGGTCCAGTCCCGCTCCAGGGCGAAGGCCCTCAGAAACCCTGACACCACAACGGGCTCAGGCAGCCGCGCCCAAGGCCCGCGCACCAGGTGTCCCCGAGAAGCCCAACTCCCCCAACTGTTTCCTACCCTGGCTCACCTGTCATCTGGCCAGCCCGCCCCCAAATGCCAGCCAAGGAAAGAGGGGGCCCGGGACAGCAGCCTGGGTCCACCCTGCCAGGACTCAAACGGGCCCGCGGAAGAAAGGCTGGGTCTAGGCTGCATTCCACCAATGATTGGGTGACCTTGGCTTCTTCACTTCTACCCTCCCCACCCTGCCCCAGCACCGCAGGCTTCTCTCCTGTCAATTTTAGAAAATGGGGAGAATCCTGTCCGGGGAATATGGCGAAAGAAAGGAGGAAATTGGCTTGGAAAACTCTTCAGGTGCAGGAGAGGGAGAAGAGGGGATCTCCAGGGCCTGCAAGGAGAATGCTGGGTGGGTGGAGGAGTGGGTGTACTCAGGAGGCAGCACTATGGGATGAGGTTCAGGGCGAGATGCTGGCAGCAGCGGGATGACACAGTCCAGGGAGAACAGGCGAGGAGGTGGACTGCTAAAAGAGGGCAGGACAGTTCTAAGGGAGCTCGGGATCTCCTTTGCCAAAGCTTCCGAGGAGGGGCAGGTGCGCCCTGCTGAGTTTCAGGGCTCTTTTTGTTCTCTTAGCTACTGGCATCCAGCCAAGAACTGGAGTTGGCGCGCCCTCCCAATTTCGTGCTTTGGGGCAGTTTCCAGGCAGAGAAACTGCAACCTGTCCTGCTGCAGTGACAAGAGCGAGCGGGGGGGGGGGGGGGGGGGGGGCTCCATTGCCCCAGGGTCTGTTCCAGCGCAGCTCCCAGGACTAGCAGAAAGCAGCCTTGGTGGGGGTAAGCGTCGCCTCTCCCTGCCCTCCCCCCATTTTCAAAGGTGCTTTCCTCTCCATCTCTGCCACCAGTTTGGAGTTCTCCCCTGCTTTGCTTGCTCCTCCATGGCTGCAGGAGCTCCCTCCTTGCCCAGGACAGACCCTTGGCACCCTTCCCCCATTGAAAGCCAAAGTACCACAGCCCCTAGCCTGTGGAGTAAGCTACCACAGGGGGGGGGGTGGGAAATCATTACCTGAGAATGAGAATAGGACTTCTCTGGGGCCCAAAGACTGTATGCTTTTTAGAGGTACCCTCAGTTCAGGGGGAGGGAGTCTGGGACATGATTGATAGGGGAAAAATAGTTGGGGATCTTTAGGAATTTACTTTCTGGGTCTTCTAACCCACCACCATGTCCCCATCCTGATCTTAACCACTATATTCACAGGAGACTTTGCACAGCTTTCAGTGGATGAAGAAGGTGTCTATGGCTTCTGCTCTCCTCCCAGCCCCCCTACATAAGTTTCTGGCTCCAGTATCACCAGTCTAATAAGTTCCCTCTCAGCCCAGAATGCCTTTCCTCCCACTGCCAGCCTCTGTGCCCTGTATTCATTCTTCCCACATAGCTCAGATGACATCTCTACGCTGAGGTCTTCTGGGAGTATCCACACCCACCTGTGTTGACTGTTACATTCTCAGCACTCAGTCTGCAGAGACTATAAATGGGGACGCATCTGTGGGTGTCAAGGGTGAGGAGGATTCAGAGCAGCATCTCTGCAGCATGCTGCCTGTGGTACCACTTGGGGATACCACTGATCAGCACTGCGAT